ATTTCATATTAAAGACAGGCTAAAAAGACTGTTTATGTGCAAAGAAACAACACCTCTCCTAAGATGGCATGATGAAGAGCGCATCAAGGATGGTGCACTACGACATCCAGCTGACTCCCAAGCATGGACGGACTTTGATGAAAAGTTTCCACAAATTAAGTAAGATCCACAGAATATTCGATTTGGCTTAGCTACCGATGGGATTAATCTGTATGGGATGTTGAGTTCTAGATATAGTTGTTGGCTAGTTGTTTTGGTAATATATAACTTACCTCTATGGTTTTGCATGAAAGAGCATTATCTAATGTTGTCTTTAATAATTCATGGTTCTACTAGTCCTGGGGATAAAATTCATGTGTTCCTTAAACCACTTTTGGAGGACCTAAAAGATTTATTTCAAAATGGTATGCCAACATACGATGCATCAAGAAACGAAACTTTTGATTTGAGAGCAGCAGTGCTAATGACCATTAGTGACCTACCAGGCTTGGGAATGCTTGCTTGTCATATGGTTCATGGAAATTTTGTATGTCCACCTTGTGGTGAAAATGCATGGACCAAACGTCTGAAGCATGGTCGCAAAGCTTGTTTTATGGTTCATCGTCGATTTCTTCCTCTTGACCATCCTTTTCATTTGGATGGGAATTCATTTGATGGAACAGTGGAGCTTGGAATAGAGCCTCAAACTTATTATGACCGTCCAATTTTGGATGAAATCACTGCATTAGGTGATTTCAAGGAGTCAAAAACTTATAAGGCATTAAGTAGTCTTTTCACATTGCCTTACTGGGATGATAATATTCTTCGATACAATCTTGATGTGATGCATATAGAGAAGAATGTGTTTGAAAATTGTTATGGTACACTATCTGATTTAGATGGAAAGTCAAAAGATAATTTACAAGCTCATCAAGACCTCAAAGAGATGAACATTAGAGAGGGCCTCCACCCACAAGAAAAACTTCAGGCAAGTTCTACTTGCCACCTGCAAGGTTTGCTATGTCTAAAAGTGAGAGACTAACATTTTGTAAAGTGCTTCAAGACATAAAAGTTCCCGATGGCTACTCTGGAAACATATCAAAATCTGTAAATTGTGCTGAAGGAAAACTTATTGATCTCAAAACACATGACTACCATGTTCTACTTCAACAACTCATGCCTATTGCTCTAAGGGGCATTATTCCAGATGATATCACAGCAGTAATGTTTGAGTTGTCTGCTTATTTTCGAGGAATATGTTCAGAAGTGCTTTGGGTTGATGACCTTGACCGTTTGGAACAATCAATTAAAGTTACACTATGCAAAATGGAGATGATATTTCCTCCTGGACTTTTTACAGTTATGGTTCACTTAGTTGTACATTTAGCAACTGAATGTAAGATGGGTGGACCAGTTTGCTATCGATGGATGTACTTCATTGAAAGGTACTGAGTCTAACTAATACAAGTTCATTGCTTGGATCATTTGTTATATATAACCTACTAAATTGATGCTTTTCCATATGTTGCAGGTACCTATGTAAACTGAAGTCATATGTTTGTAGGTACCTAGAATGTTTCTCCACAAAGCATAACAAACCATCAAGGAATGATGAGAACCAGGATCATCTTGAATCTATTTTATATGGACATGATTCCTCTTTGTTTCCTCCGATAGGAAAACCATTGGGAAGACCATCCAATTTTATTTTAACCGATCTAGAGAAACTACAAGCACATAGATATGTACTATACAATTGTGAAGCTGTCATTCCATACTTGAAGTAAGGGTTACTGACACCTATCAACATATTACATATGTTCCTTTAAAACTGAATCCATGTTAATTTCCATTTTAGAGAGTATGCCGCTGATCTCAAAAGAAGAAATCATCAACGCCGTCTATCTTTGAAACAAATTGAGAATATACAAAATAAAGAGTTTCCTGACTGGTTCAAACAACATGTAGGTATCAGGGTTTGTTTTTTCTTAAAAATAGGAAAAATTGACTTAAGTATATTTTGTGATCATGCAGTTGGAGCAAAAAAATGGTTGCGATAGCATTGATGATGACATTAGATGGTTGGCTCACGGCCCATTGGATGCAGCCAGAAGACACAGAGCCTTTAGCATCAGTGGTTTTAGATTTAGAGCCAAATGTTATGACAAGGTGACGCAAAATAGTGGAGTTGTTGTGACTGCAAAAACATCAAGTTTTTCTTCTGCAGGGGATACTAACCCTATCCTTGGAGATATTACCTACTACGGAAGGATACTTAATCTAGTTGAGTATTATGGAAGATTCTCGGTGGTGTTGTTTAAATGTGAATGGGTTGATGTTACTCGAGGAAAGGGAGTGAAAACATATAAGTTTGGTTGTACACTTGTGAATTTCTCACAGCAAATTCACAAGGGTGACAGGATTGAGCATGAGCCTTTTGTATTTGCCAATCAAGTTGACCAAGTGTTCTATGTCGAAGATGAGTATAACAACCCAGGATGGTCAGTTGCATTGAAGATGAAGCCTAGAGATGTATTTGAAATGGGAGAAGAATGGAATGATGTAGAATGTGAACCTTATCATGTCAGTACTCTTGAGGACGTTTTTGCTAATGCACATAATAGTCATTCATGGACTAGAAGAGATGTAGAGGGTACAACTGTAGAGGCAAAATGGTAGATCCTAGTACAAGTTCTGATCAAGAAGATTAGCTCAACAAAATTAAAGGTCAGATATGTTTGATTTTTGTACTGTTGAATATTGTATAGTTGTACTAAGATTATGTACCAGCTGACAAGTTTCTTTTTAACTGTTTGTATTATTCAGGTCATGGTCTAGAAACCAACATCATCGCTGCAATGCATGAACATCTTGAGCTGTTTTGCCAAGTTGTAATTTTGTGTATTCCTCTGAGTTTTTACTCTAGAAAACTTCAATAAATGTGATGTTCAGTGTTTGATAATTTTAGATTTGAGAATTCAGAATATAATTGTATGGAGTCACAAGTTGTATGGTGTCGGCAAAACAAAGATCACATTTGAAATTTGAGATTTTAGAATATAATTGTTTATATGTCCATCATAAATCTAGTGGCAACAGGCCCATCATCTCTGTCGGCAGGAAATATAATGAAAAAAAACAAAAACAAAAACGTCTTGTGAAGGTATAAGATTGAAATGAAATGTCTACAGGTGCGCCATAGCTTAGGTGCGATTTCTAAAAAATGCCTTGTGAAGTTATAAGATTGAAATGGAATGTCTACAGGTGCACCACAGCTTAGGTGCGATTTCTAAAAAACACAAACAAAAGCACCTTTCAAGATGCGATTTCTAAAAAACAAAAAAAAGTTGTGATTTAAAAAAAACAGTTTTCATCATGCGATTTCTAAAAAACAAAAAAACGCCTTTCAAAATGTGATTTGTAAAAAACAAAAAAATAACTTTCATCATGATTTGAACCCACGACCCTCAGCCCCCAACAAACTGAACACATCTCTACCATTAGACTACACATGCATTTGTTAGTGTATATATATATTTTTTATCAATATTTCGTAACCTTGTGACAGGTTTGCACGAAAAACTTCGTAACTTTCTCATATGATGTCCGATGAAGACGAACTTTATACCAAAGTTGTAGTACTTTTCGAGATCTACAACTTTGTAGTTTAGACTTTTAGATTTGTGGTCATTTGGATATTCAAATATGTATCATAAAATTTATATAGTTAATATCAAAGGAGTCCATATGCTCTAAAGTGACAAGTGAGTGTGTAGTGGTAGAAAAGGATCTCGGATGGAGAAACAACCAAAATAAAAGTTGGAGATCTCAAAAAGTTATAAAACTTTATAGTTCATAGCTTTTTTATTTAAAGTTGTTTTGATGCTAACTATTTGTTTCACCAGATTTAATAGAAGTTAATACCAAAGGAATCCATATGCTCTATGGTCATAAGTGAGTGTTTAGTTGTAGATAATGATGTCGGATGGAGAAGCGACCAAAACAAAAGTTGTAAATCTCGAAAAATTATGCAATTTTGTAGTTGACAACTTTTTCATTTGAAATCATCTATCATTCAAAAATTATGTATGGATTCTCACATTTGAAATTCAAAATTTTCAAACAACCTCGGATGGACAAATGACCAAAACAAAAGTTGTAGATCTCGAGAAGTTATGCAACTTTATAGTTGATGACTTTTTCATTTGAAATCATCTATCCAAGAAAAAATCACGTGAATTTCCTCACATTTGAAATTCGAATTTTTTTCAAACAACCTCAGATGGAGAAATGACCAAAACAAAAGTTATAGATCTTGAGAAGTTATGCAACGTTATAGTTGACGACTTTTTCATTTGAATTTATTACGGTCCCGAATACTCATTTCAAAACTAGATGAGCACAGATTCAAGCACCGGAAATATAGCAACTCCCTTATTATTTACTTTTAAGTAGAATGCCAAGTACCAAGAAACTATTTTTCATTAATATTTGTCTTATTAATAGAAAGTAATATAATTGGCCACATTAAACTGATGCCATTAGTCATTACTTTAAAATAGACTAATTTGGTACATATTATTAATACTATCACACAACCAATATACGTAGTCATTACTCATAAAGTAACTCTTAGATAGCAAAATCTAGTAGTATATTTTTTTAGATACAAGGACTGTACAGGATGTCCATCAAATGTTCTTTTAGATAGCAAAATCTTATAGTATATTTTAGATATATAAGCACCAGAAATCCATAATCGAGAGGCATGGAATATTAGTTTCCTCCTTAAAACATTGACTGAAATTATCCCACCAAATTTTCCCTCCAGAAATCCAGTTGCCGTTCCGTAACATTTGCCGCTCTAATCTAATCTAGCGAATAAAAACTCGAAGGCCCTCCTCAATCCTCATTCCCTCCAACTGACCGAAGCTCCTAGGTGGGCATGGCAGTGGCTCCCTTCCCTTCGGTTCATCTCCGGCCATAGTGTTATCTTCACCATCGGAGGCAAGGCTCCATCGATGGCGGTGGCATCCGCGGCCTCGTTCCCGTCACCATCATTCCCTGGCCAAGTCGCAGGTACGTTGAACAAACCCTGTCAGCCCCCAAGTGCCCACGGATGCCTAGACCTACCCCCCCCTCTCTCTCTCTCTCTCTCTTTTCACATTGTTACTCTTAATGAGGGCACCACCGTGTGTCAGTAGCCATCAACCGCCACCCCTACAACGGCGCCCGTCACAAAGGATCTTATGGGCCACCGCCCCCTCCTCCGGCCTCTGAGCCCGTCTAAATGCCCAATGTATCGATAAGTTTGTTTAGCCACAACCCAAGATGAGGGATCAATATTCTTTGTTAATTACAATACAGTTTCTGTGGTCGATTAGTGAATCCACAAAAAACAGTAGCTCCAGGGAGAATTACGGCTGCTATACAATTCAAAGGGAGAATGTCACCTGAACTGATAGGATTTGCGCTTATAGCCAATGCAGTTAGATGGCTGACAGACTCCTATATAAGTGATGCCGAGACGATAATATGGTTGTTGCCATCTGATAAGAGCATCATAGGTTGTATATGCATATGAAACTTTAATTAGATAGAGGTAAGGATCATGTGAATGAAACTGTTGAAGTTGCATAATGCATATGTTTCAACGGTTTTTTCAGATTGAGTTCTTTCTCCCTAGTTTATATTATATATAGGAGCTACAAATTGGAAACGACAATTCTGCTGGGAAGATAGGATGCTGGATTTAACAGACTTTTCAATGGGGTCCCATTTCATGGTTCTAGGGTGGGGAAAAAACTTCTGGCCTATTCTTTGTGAATTATCATATGCTTTATTCTTATTTTCCTATTGGTGCTAAATTTTATTTAGATTGTGTTACCATGGCGGTGGATAATTGGACCATAAATCTGGAATGCGATGGGAAAGCTGAAGGACATAAACATGTGCAAAGGGAAATGGATAGAGATGAGATATGCTTTTTCAACTTGATTGATCTAATCGAGGGTTCTGGGTACACATCAGTCGACTATCTATACTACAAGAGAACATATAGCTTGGTTGTAATAGAACAAGATTTCGATGTGATGGAAATGCTCAATGAGTGTGAGAGCGAAAAGTCGGTTAAATTGTTTGTGATGAGGCAGAGACCGGCCACTTTAGCGCCTACCAAGTCCAACAAAGAACCATCCAAATCTAAACCAAAAAAATAAAGGTATTAGAATGAACATATAATTTACTTTTCTATGTATATTTGATTATTCAAGGACAAATATTCCAAGTCATGTTAGTTATCAATGATTTATTTTCATCCAAGATTAGCATATCCAACCTCACCATGGTATGTGACTTAATAAATACAATCTTGATAGTCTAATACAAATATTTAGTTGTTTAATAAAAAGATTGCATATTGTTTATTATATTTACTATGTCCTTGATGATGTTGTGCAGCCGACATGGTGATTACAAGAAAGTGCACAATTCAAAGCAATGATGAATATATGTTAGAGCAAGATACTAGGCAAGAGAGTCCTCAACAAAATGTTGCAGCATCTAAAGTTCATACTAGTGTTGGAGGAGACCAGATTGACAGTGAGGTTAATGTCTAAGGTAACTCATAACCTACAATTCTAATTAACATAAACTGATTTCCTGTAATTTTTCTCAGTGAATATTTATTTTTTGCAATGTACCATTGGCTAGATGAAACTGAAGGTAGAGTAAAGCGTGGGAGGACCAAACTGAAAGATATTTGGAACCTTCCTAAAGGTCATAGAATTGTGGTTGCATGTAATGAACTTGATCAACCAATTGGAGTAGAAGCTGGATTTCTAGGAAAATTTCTTGGCACGGTGGCTAGAAATGGGTGCTTGTGTAGCTTGAGCTACAAGGACTGGAGACTTCTAATAGGAAAGAAAGAAAGAAACACCAACGAAGAAAAAAAATAAGAAGGATATACTTAAGCAAGTAAAGGTATGCAATTATGGTGGTTATGCGATAATATTATTCGCTAAATTTTAATATCGAACCTATAATTTTTAACCATATGCCTTCTGCTATTGGTGTGCAGATGAGATTTCTTTACCCTTTACGCATGGGAAAATGGATATTGCGAACCCTCGGAGAGAGATGGAGGCAACACAAGTCAAATCTAAAATCAATTTATTTTCATGTGCACAAGATCATGGAAACTAATTGCAACAATGTGCCACCACAGTGTAATTGCTGACCAGTGGGTTGCACTTGTGAATAACTGAATGACCCAGAAATCACAGGTACCTACATATTGTTCGATTTATGTGGTTCTCAATGCATACTAAATTTTCCAAAACTTCTACATAACTTAAATGCTTTTCTTTGTATTTTGTTATTTTGGGACAGGATATAAGTGAGGCAAATAGGATAAACTGTACAAAGAAGTCAACCCATACTGCTGGAACAAAGAGTTTTGCTCGAAATAGAGAGGAGCGGGTAATATTCTTGCCACTCTAATTGTGTGTACACCTCTTGTTGCATTCATATATATGATATAATAATTATCATGTCCTTGATATTAATTTTCATGTTCAACAGAAGGAAAAAGATCCTGAAAAGAAATACCCTCACAGGGTTGTTTTGTATATTCATACACATAAGACTAAAAGCGAGAAGGACACGAATGCACATGTGGTAATTTAATTATGAATGCTCAACTTTTTTTTTTATTCTACTACCTTTACAAATTTATTTGATTCATATTATGGCTATGTATAGGATGATTTGAAGAAACTCATAGGGCAGCAACCAGATTTAGCAGACACTAGTCAAGGAAAGGTTGCATGGAGAGGAGATGCACTAAATAGAGTACTAGGAGAAGAGAAGCCTGGTCATGTGCATAGCTTGGGACTTGTTCCAAATCCAAATCAAGTTTTTGACCTGTCAACTTCAAAGCGCCTTAAGAATATAAATATGACTTCGTTGTATGACAAATCTAGTGAAGATGTTGTATCTCTAAGACTTCAAATGGAAAAGTTTGGACGTCAAGTCCAAAATCAAGATGCTACAATACTAGAATTACAACAGAAGACAAAAATCTCAGAACAAAGACATATCCAACAGGTAAATTTATAGAACCTCTACAGTAATCATTTTCTGTACTAAAATTTTGATTTCTTGTCACAGGAATGTTTAGATGTTCCATTGCAAGATGGCTTTTCTACTGATGTGCCAAATTTGAAACGAAAAGTATGTGTCTCTATGGAGCATTAACAGAACATAATCTTTTATGTAAAATTATTTTTTAAATAATTAGTTTTGATGTATTATCTTTTGTCTCTCAATAGCGAGTATATAGTGACCCTCGAAGTGAAGAATTTGGCATGGTTGATCAATTGAATTGTATAACAATATGATTGAATGGGCATGATTCTCCAACCAGATTTGTGTAAAGAAAATTTAGTTATTCTTTTCCATTACAAAGGGAGCAAACTACTAATATTGAGCGGACACACTGTAACACCCTAAAAATTGCACTATTTTATAATAGTTAAATTTGATTTAATTATGTAATTATGTGTGCATTCAAATATAGGAAAATAATAATTTTTGTGAAAATAAAATCCATCATAAGAATATATACATGTTGATGCACTCATGCTGGAGCATTGTATTTAATATGTTGAGTGGTTTTGATTTAAACTCAAAAGGATCCAAAAATTATTTGAAAATGGAATTGGAAAATTCATTTGGAAAAAAAGAAAAGGAAATTCATTTCCCTTTCCCCTCCCTTCCTCAATTCGGCCTCCTGGCTCAACTTTCTCACCCGCCGGCCCATCACCGCACGCTCGTAAGGCGCCGGCCCAGCAACCGCCGCCGCTCCCTTGGCCCAGCTCGGGTGGAACCGCACGCTCAACCGTCACCCGTGCCTCAGCCGCTGATGACTCGGGCCCGCCTGTCGGCGCCGTCCCCCACCTCCGCGCCCCGCGCCAGGTCAAGCTAGTCATGTCGCAACCGTCGCCACGCCCACTTTGGTCGTGGGAGCGTCCCCACCTGTGCCCCGGCCTCTACAAAAGGTGGGCCCGAGCCCATCACCGCTCCCTCTATTGCCCCCGCTCCCTTCTTCGTGCTCGCCATGCACGGAAGCCACAACCGCCACAACCACAGCGCCGGGATCCGCCGTCCGCCCCTCCGCGTGGTCCGCCGACCCCGAGCCGCCTCCGTCTCCGTTTCCCCCCGCTGTGAGAACCCACTTGCTCCCATCTTTCTCCCCGTGTCGTTACTTTCAATTTTCATGGCTTCTAGAGCCCTAACCGCATGCGTCTAAGAGCTCCACGCCGCCGGCCATGGCGACCACCGCCTCGGCCATGACCTCCGGCTACAATCTCGGCCTAGGCGGGTTCCCCTTCACCCCTCTCTTCCCCGGTGCTCTCGGATGCGCAAACCGAGGCCGCTAGACCTTGTTTCGCTCGTGCCGTTGACCACCTTGCCGTCGGTCATGGTGCCCCACCGCCGGAAGCACTGTTCCCGACCGTTGGCCTCCTTTCTCTCTCCCTATCTCTAATCCAAGCCGTCCATCGCATGATCAACGGCTCTGAGAGGCCGATACCCCTTCGCGGGACATTTTGCTAAAGAGACCCCCTGGTTTCGCCTAATCAAACCCGCAGTCCTCAGCCATTTTGATTAATTCCAGATTTAATTTATTTTAAATCCAAAAATAGTTCATACGAATTACAGAAATGCCACTGGATTTGTTTTGCTCATAAAAACTTTGTTTTAGCTCCGAATCGACCCGTTCAAATTGCGTTAGTTTCGTAATTTCATAATCAACATGTTAGTACCACTGCTAATCATGTTTGCAACTTTTAAATTTCATGGTTAGGTTTACTTAATTAATTTGCTATAGGAAATCGTGTTTAAATCATAACTTTCGCATTTTAGCACCGATTTTCGTTAACTTCGCGTTGACGTGATCGTAGCGAGACGTAGATTCTTTTCATAAACATTTTATCTTGTTTTCTATACTACTGGTGTACTGTTCTAATAATAGGTTTGTTTGCTTTGCATGAATGTTCCTGAAATGTTGTATGTTGTCGTGTTGGTCGCGTTCAGACGGTGAGGAGAACATTGGTGAATAAGAGTTGTTTGACGACCTGCAGGACTAGCAGGAGTTTGTTAACCAAGGCAAGTATAGCATGGGGTCTACCTTGATGCCTATTCACCTTTATTAATTACTCATTTGCATGTGTCTAATTTTGATACCCGTAAGGACATCCTAGCGATTGATTATTCTGTTCCTTGTCTCCTATGGGTTATATGCATATGGGTAGTTTGCTAGCGCTCAATGTAACTATACATGATTTACATAATGAATAACGGTTCTATGGAACAAAAAGGTAAAATTGGCTTTTAAACAACTGAATTATAGGGCGAAGGAGCGAATGACTTTCGATTATGATGCTCTCGGCCCTCCATAAGGACTTATCTGTCGGCAAAAGTTGGGACTGACAGTGCAATCGTGAGGGTCAAATGGCTCTGACTTTAGCTCAGTAATAGGACGTTTTCTAGCTTGTTAGAGGTTACCTTTATGGCGCAAAAGGGGCTTGCCACGTTGGGTATAGGACTGCTTCTGTTCCTATGTGTATAGCCACGATGGATATGTGTCATAGGAAAGGGGGTTCCTACTTCTACCTACCGAGGAAACCTAGCGGCCCTAACTTGTTAGAGAAACCTATGAAATGGCTTCATAGTGTACCCCGCCCGCTCACCTTGGCTGTGATATGGGAGTAATTAAACTGGGCATATGGGAATCATGACTCGTGGTGAATGTGCACAACCTCTGCAGATGGTTATAAACTGTTATAACAGCCGTGCTCACGGTCACGAGTGGCCTGGAAAACTCACAGAATAAATGGTTACTTATTGTTGTTCATTTATGATGTTCTACGATGATAATATGATTCAAATGATTCTGATATCTGATCATGTGGGTTTAAATGGGAGCTTAAGCATAACTTGATAATAACTGATGACAAAATCTTGACTTACTAAAAGTGCTAACTGCAGTAAACCAGAGTCAACCTATTTGAGCTTTCATAACCCCATGTTATCTTGTTAAGTATGGGAAGTACTTACGCTTGTTTACTTTTAATATTTGGATAAAAATCCCGGATGGGTAACAGATGACAACGTGTATGAGGAGTTTCCTGAGGACTTTTAGGCTTGTGGTCAACCAGTTGACCGTCCCTGTGTTGGAGCTTCCACTAGAGAGCTATCTTTTTATTTTCTGTTGTGTTGTGTAAGACTATGTAATGTTATTAATCGTGATGTAAGATACACCGTGATGATACTTTTGTAATTTGTCAACTTGTGTGTGTGATTGATCCCTGGGCACACATGAGTTTAGTGCATTCAATTTTATCCTTAAAATTGGGTGTGACAAATTGGTATCAGAGCCGTGTTGACTGTAGGACGCAAGCCTAGTAGAAACTGGTCGTTTTAAGGTTTATAAGTTGCTGCAAAAACCCTTGATCTATGAACCTTGATATTTTCTTCTCTACTATATTTCTACCCTTGTTATTCATCTCTACCTTGGTGCTTATTTTGAATACTTTGTTCTTATCTTCACCCCTTGATTTGATATGCTTTTAGAACTATCCCTCATCACCTTCTTGCGTAATCTAAAGATAAGTCTTAGGATTGTTACCCCTAGCATAATAAGGACGATAGTATCGCAAGTCGAGTTAATGATTGAGTTGTGCACCTTTATTGCTTGTTGAATCGTCATTATGCTTATGATTGTTTTGAATCTTTGTAATGATTGCAATGATCTTGTTGGGTGTTGCCACAATTTCATTTATCTTATAGGCCTAAGGTATAAGGATTAGTACAATAAATAGTTGGGTTATGGTTTTCTTCTATTTTCTCTATCCTATCTTTTTCGGAGCAGTCTGCACCCTTCGGCTTATATCTCTATTCTTGGAGAACCAAAAATCATGAGAAAATTCTGGACAATAGTAGACTTTAATATCTTTCTCTGAGCGCAAGAATCACCTTGATAGCTATTTTGGTTATGGAGATACGAAAATCAGAAGGTGATGCATTTGTGCTGTTTGGAATCTAGAGTAGTTTCTGTTGTGTACTGTTTTCAACCAAGTTAACTGTAGAATTTGGAAAAGTGTTCTACAAGGAAGTTGTGGAGAATTTTATAAGTTTTCCAACGATATAAGCTACAACTTCATTAGATTAACAGAATGGGAGTTACAGTTGTTTTACTGCACTGCTATTTTTCATCTCGCGAGGAATTTTAGGTTTCTTGCCCATACACAAGAGTATCGTTGGGATGTCAAAACGTCTTGATATTAGTTAGCTCATCTAGAAGGAGATGCAAGCTATGCTTTGGTGTCCCCTAGCTTATCTTTTCTTAAGGGGGGTAGCCAAGTTGAAGAATTTGTAAGATGAAGTATCATACGTTCTAGTTTGCGCAGCAGAAGCGTGGTGGTACCCAAAGATGTGAAAGCAGTTTAGAGTCTCAATGAGGTTTGATTAAAGATTCAAGGGAAGTTTATCCAAGATCATCAAAATTTTGGTAGAGCTACCGGAAAAGTTTTCAAGTTAGATTGGATCAAGAAACTTCAACTAAGTGTTTGAAGGAGTCCAAGAAGAGTTGAAGTAAAACCTAAGTATTAGCTTGGTCAGATCCGGACGAGAGCTTCATATCTATAAGGATGCACCTTGTCAAGGTGTGGGATGTGTCCTTATGCAAAAAGAAAAATGTAGTACATTGTTCATTAAGTCAATTAAGGAAGCGTGAGTTGAACTACCTAACAAGTTGTCTGAAGTTACCCATTGTGGAGCATGAAAGTACTATCTTCTTGCAAGTACAAGTGACATCTAGGAGGATCACAAGAATCTACAGGACATCTACACCAAGTTGGTCTTGAGCTTGTGATATCTTTGTTGGGATGAAAATTGAATATGACTTGGAAAAGCGATATCACTTGGAGAAGCAAAAGTCGTTGTCGATGTCCTTAGCAAGAGAGAGTTATGCTAAGAAGATTCGAACAACACCAAGGACTAAGAATTGTACCCCAAGTTCGAGCAACTTAACTGGAATCATTCATGTTTTGAAGATTGGTGGAAGAATTTCCTTCTGACCAATAAAGTAAGGAATTTTTGTTGGAAGGTGGGTATTTTAAGTAAAAGAATTGGTATTGTGGACTCAAAAGGAAAGTTGGCCTAGTGATTGGAGTTACCGGAGTATCGTTTGGAGT